CCGTAAAGCCCTGCACCATAAACCGCAAAAAAACATATGCAATTAAACAGGCTCCTACCACTTGAGGCAGTGTGAATCCCTTTCCATTCATGTCTGGTGGAAGAGCCGCGAGACTTACTGGTTCTTGAAGGAACGAGAGAATATAATCTGGTATAGTATATTGCCTTGTTTCTTGCTAACAACCCGTAGGACAATGAGTTCCAAGGTTTCTCAAGTTCATGAGTCTGCTGAGAGATTACCCATTTTCGTATTCATGCTCATTCTTTCTTAAGGCTATATGTACACGTATTGCAAAACTTGTCGGACATTGAGCGCCACTCTTCCTAGAATGAGTCGTTCCTGAGTTGGGAAATCTTGGGACCCAGTCCCCAATAGTAATTACTCACGACAGATCTCCTTTCTGCATTGACTTTTCCCTCCATTTTGTGTTTGGAGACTGCATCAAAATCCTAAATCAGGTATGTCATGTTTTGGACGGACGAAATCCGATGGCACCTTCGCGTTTGAACCCTAGGAATTATGACACCATGCGCTACTTGAAATGATGCAGGTCTCGATATTATGACGTTCCAGCCCGCGAAACTCAAGACTAGGATCGGCAACCTAGCATCCAAGCCTCGCGTCGCCTCTGAGCTTTATCGGGCTATTGTTGTTTCGAATTTCAACACATTGATAGACAAAATCAGTGTAAGGAGCATAAAGTTCTACATGCAAATTTTGTCTGTGAGCTTAATTTCAAGAACATCCCAAGAACAAGCCAGATTCTCTGAACGCTGAACCTGGAGGATTGTAGGCTGCAGGGTTGCATACCGCGGACGCCTGAGTTGCAGTTTAGGGTTGAGGGTTCAGGGTTGGCCTTTTGTGGTCCCACATTCCTCGTAGAATCCTCGTATAGAAATCTTCCAAATAGACCCCAACATGATATTGGTACTTGGTCAGAAATGCCTATACTACATAATCACTATTCAAACCTTCTGCAACCCCAGGTTCCATGTCACTGTCCATTTCATTTCCATATTATTCTCCATTGCTGAGGTTGAGAGAAAATTATCCCTGAACCCGAAAAATGAAACCCTAAATCGTATATGCAGAGGCTTTCGGCTTTTGTTCTGAGGGTTGAGGCAGGAATCCCTAGGTTTCCCATTTTTACTGTTTGCGTCTTAAGGTTCAGGATTTAACGTGGCTTAGAGGGGGTATATAGGGGACCCTGTGAGAGTTTAGAGCTATCTGCTTGATGGTTAGGGGCAATGGGTGCAGGGTTTAAAGCACTCAGCTAAGGGCCCAGGGCTAAATGCTTATGGCCCGTGGTCAAGGGTTTAGGGTGTGCAGTGGTATACCATGCTTGAGAGCAAATAATCTGGCATCTCTCACTGCGACCCAGAATCTACTTCTCCTCTGGATATTTGTTTTACGTAGCGGCTTCAGTGGTGATGAGCTCGCCATCTGCGAAAAGATTGCCGGACCCATGCAAGCTCTGTCCCTGCATGCATGCAATTTCCGGAGAGTCAGAGGTTACGGGGCCTCGCTGAACTCGAACTCGAACTCCGAGCCCCCCTTTCCGGACTTCTCGTGTGAACCATTCATGACCTGTTCACGAACAGTTTCGATATGGACCCAATCTCCACACGAGCTGCTCTCGAATTGTTCACAAACTATCACAAACTCTTCCCACGTGAACACGAACTTGAGTCGATCTCCTGTTCCCATGTTCGTGTTTCTTTCTGAAAGGTTCTCGTTCCCTCGGACCCGAACTCGAACTCTCATGAGCTGTGCCCCTAGCTGCGCTATGAACGCAAACTCGAGCTGAACTCAAACTCGTTACCCCCCCCTTTCCCTTTTCTATCTATGCCTTGAACTGTGAGCTCGATCTACACTCGAACTCCCCCACCCTGCCCGAAAAAAAGGTTTTGCATTTGGAACGTGCATTCGAACTGAAATCGAACTGGTGTCCCCCCCCTTCCTATCTTAGACATGCACTGCGAGCTCGATCTACACTCCAGCTCCCCCCCCCAAACAAGAACATTTTGCATCTTCGAAGGCCAGCATGAACTGAACTCGAATTCGTTGCCTCCCCTTCGTATTGCGTGAGGTTGAACTGTTCTTGAACAGATCATGAACTGTTCACGCATTCATTGTAGCATAACACTGACTCAAACTGAACTCGAACTGTTCCCCCCCCACCCCCGGGGTCGCAATGTCCCGATGGCTTCCAAGGGTGAGGCTACGCATAAAGCACCAAGAAGGCGCTGGAAGTGCCACAACCTTGCAAAAAAATGTGACAGTTGCTTGCTCTGACAAGCATGCTAAGCGCAATGCTTGCTCCCCACAAAGATGTCCATTCCCTACTTGGAGGATGCAAGGTGAGGGAATTGTCTCCAAACCTCAGCAGATTTACCAAAGTCCAAATCAGCGTTTACAAAGCCATGTTGGCACAGCGGCTACCGCCTTTGGGATGTCTATGACCAAACAAGAGCGTGCAATGGTTTACAAAGAGTCTCGTCGAAATTAGAATCCCACACAAGTCACGAAGGGATGGACGGAAGGAGGAAGGAAGGAAGGAAGAACAGGAAAGAAGCGGCGCCTCCACACTTTGCAAGTGGGCCAGGCTGCGCCTCGCAGTTTCCCGCTCTCCCCCTGTACTTGAAAAACAACATCACTTCAACTGTGACCTTTCTTCAAAGCATGCCTCCAGCGTAAGCTCTTGGATGCGTCTTCCCATGCTTCCACGCTTCCAGTGGTCAGCAAATGGACGGGGATGCACACCCCAGACCGCGCAGTCCTTGAGGGCGATGCCACTCTACCTAGCGCTGCATGAACTGCAAGAATCTTCAACTGCATCCAATTTCCAAGCTTGCCTGCGTTCGTCAAAGAAAGATACCAGCCGCCCCGTTGACCTCACACAAACTCTGATTCCATGGATCCATCGAGTACTTCGATCAATCTGCGAAGACCGACAGGCATAATGCTCATGAACCGGGGCCAATTCAACCCCACTGCAGCACGAGTTCACCCGGCCTCCACAACGACGGAAGACGAAACACTAAGACGGCGTCCGGGCAAGAGGCATCCCTTTCTGTCCTGTCATCCACTTGTCCATGGCCAGGCAGCCACGGAAAAAAATACTGCGCACTTTCTGGTCTATGCAGTACTTCATCCACGCCGGCCACATATGGAGTGTAACCCCCCACGGTGGATGCTCAGGAATCAATGATCCCTACTCCGGCAATGGAAGACCGGCATCCAGTGAACCCCAACAGACCTCAGAGGAATTCAAAACCAGATGCCTAAAATGGAAGTTGCCCATCAAGATCCAGCTAGTAGGCAAATTGCATGTATGCAATGCGAAGTGCTTGCAATCTCAGTTGCCTTGTTGGCTCGTGTGATGTGAAGCAGCTAAGGGCAAATTGAGTTGCTCAGCAGACCTGGCCCCGATGCCGTTCATTGTGGCATCTGTGATTTATGCGCCTGAACTGGTGCCTGTGGAAGAAGAGCCGCCAAGCATTGCTCTCATCATAGGCGCGAGCTTGACATCACTGGGCATGCCGCATCAAGTCAGTAAAGCGCTAGTTTAACGTTGCCTGAACCAGCTTGCCAGTGGCGATCATCGTCTTCTTGGCGTGCATGGCTGGCCTGGCCTATGCCAATATGAAGCCGCCAAAGGGCAAGGCCAGATGAAAGTCCCTGGGAGCCTTTCTGTAACGTGCTGGGGGTCAATGTGATGCCCTCCAACATAGCAGGCTGAAGCTACTTCAAAAGTGGCGCCAGCTTTAGCTTCAAGTGAGGAGTTGAGACCTCAGCTTTGCCTTGCTTCAGAACCCAAACCAGCTCTGAGTGCAAACAGACGGACACTCGCAGAATCAACTATCTACATCCAATATTATCCTCTTTTGCTCAAGCTTCACTTGTGCTGACGGTACTAGGCCCTGCGACGCTCCAGTCGACACGGAGGCGGCTACTCGAGCCGAACCATTGGCAACTTGGTTGGGATATATGCGGTGAAAGCAAGCCCCATCAAGCCCCGCCGACCTCAATCGATGCATATGCTGTGCCAAGCAGGAAGCTGGGTCTTCAAGAGCTGATGCCCCGGAATTGCCGCCATTGCCCAGTTGCCGCCTCACTGCGAGCCATTACCGCATCCTAGGCATGATGGTGCTCAAATGCAGGTGCTAGCTCCGGACCTTCTCGTGATGCTGAGGGTCCAGGCAGTGCCAGCCACAAGACCAGCATGCCATGCTTGGATGAGAGCATGCCTGCGTGCGGCTTCCAACTCCTAAGCTCTGCCAGGGTCACCCGCAGAGGCCCTGGTTCCAAAGCCGCAGCTCGTCCCTTGCCGCACAGACGGTCAGGTCATGTTTTCCGTGCCTTGAAAAATTCTGCAGTGACGACAGTGACGACTTGAGGATTGCGCGATCCCAGTTGCGCCGCTCACCACCCCAGAGTTTGAGAGCTTTGCGGAGGGCTTCAAAAAGTCGGATCTTCCCACAGCTGCCGAGGAGATGTGTTTGCATGTGGGGACTCCAAGCTGACTAAGTCCTTTCAGGAAGCCCCGCTGGCGCCACACTGCCCTGATCAAGAGCCTTGAGGGCTTGTAGTCCAGGCCTCACAGTGGCGGGAGGTGCCGATCCCAATCATGCGCAGAGCATTAGACTTGCTTGGAATTCAGCGGTGCGCTGCAGGGAAATGAGGATCCCAGTGTTGAACGCTGTTGCATCACGATTTCAAAGCCCAGAACCGGTCCTAGCAGTCGCAGGCATGGAGTTCGTTGCAGCTGGCATGCTAAGCATGCTACGATATTGCAACGGCAGACCTGAGCTTGACTGAAAGAACAGGTCGAGTGACCAGGTTATTGCAAGCAGGAAGCCGACGAAGCCCAACCAAGAAAACAAGTCCGGAACCCCGCAGCGCGCTTGTTCTTTTGGTTTGATCACTTGACAGGTCTGTGTTGTCTTTCGATGCCGCTGTTGCTTTCCTCAAAAGAACTTGTAGAGCGACCTGAAGCCATGTCTTCAAACAGAGGTTTTGCCATTTTCTTCCTTGAACTTTACTTGGCTGCCTGGAGCCAAGAGGTCGCGGCAGGACCGACGCTTGTCCAAGAAATTCACTTCTTTCATAGCTGCAAGGGGAATTGTTGGCACATGCTTTGACTGCTGCTGTTGTGTGGCTCTGAGTGGTCGAGGCTTGTGGTGGACCGCACACGCTTGGGCAACACCTTCGATGGTGTTGGAGGTTTGAGCGGTGGCGGTGCCACGAGCGCGTCCGGGCAGCAAGGGCAACGCGCTTGAAGGGTGCGTTTTGGACCCATTCGGTGATGGTAGTGCAGGTCGCCAATAGATGCCAGCAGCAGTCTGGCCATGCAGCGACCATTCAACACTGCTGTGCAAAGGTGCTGCTTCCAAATTACGCGGAGACCTCCCGCTCAGAGGTCCTTGACTACCTCTTCAAACCCAACTTCGGCGCTTCTCTCCAGATTTTGAAGGCACTCCGTCTTTGCAATGCTGACGGACGCAAATAAGCCAGATAGAGGCGCAGGTTGCTGGCAGTATTTTGCTGGCAGTATTACAGAACTTTCATCACCAAATCAAAGTCCCTCTCCTCCCTAAACATGCTGTGCATTCAGGGATGCCTTATATTCCGTGATCTTTATTAACTTTCCGAAGTGCTCCACAACTCCGCAGCAATTGTACGCCAATCGAGAACAGAAGAGTCCATCGGCAGTGGACGACATGCAGAGCAAGGGCAGCAATGTTTTGTTTAAGGGCTGCAGCTTACGATGAGGCCATGGGCGAGGGCTCAAAGCATGACATGTGCTGGCTGGGATCAGGTGGAGATTGGCGGCGACTCGCAGTCGACTGACGGCACAGAATCCTCGCACATGCATGACAGCGAGACGGTCGACCTCCACACTGGCTACGAGTGCCTGAGATGCTTACTTCACCTCTGTTAAACGCAGCACTACTGCCCGCATCATGCATTTTCAGGTGGTGGCTCATGCAGGAGGCTGGCGGGCTGGCGGTCTACCCACGCCGGGTATGCGGACTTGTGGCGAGTAAGAGCCAGTGAACGGCTTTGTTCGGCTAGCGTCCTGAAAGGCGAAGAAGCGCAACCCGGACATCAAGTTGTATGGACTTGCCTGGGCTTTCCCTGGGTGGGTTGGCGAAGGATCTGGCGACCCGTTTAAGTTCCCGAAGCAAACTGCACGGTATTTGGTGGAGTGGGTCACGGGAGCCAAGTCAGAATACGGGTTTCCAAGCTGCAAAACATGGCCATTGTGCTGCTTCCGCTGCTGCTGCCTCAGCTGCGGCTCCTCCGCCTCCTCATACTCATCGAACATGAAGACAACTAGTTACTTCCCCCAGTATTGAACCTGTAGTATTGAAGCGCGCTCTGCCCCCTCCTGCCCATGTTGAGTATTCTGTGCGGTTCTTTTTTTCAAGTCTGGGGGGAGCGGCGTTTATGGAAATAACTAACTAGACAAGCCCCCTTTAAAATCCATTTTAAAGGCTTGCGCAGGAGTAGCTAACTATGTCCGATTAGTGGATTACTTCGGGTTCCTGACTGAAAGGATAGACGGGGCTGAAATAGGAAGGGGGACGAGAGGACATGTGGAAAAGAGACAGCGCTTGCAATCCTGCAGCGGGGTGTGTAACACATCGTAAGACCATTCAATGCCCAACGCAGCGGGGTGAGATTGTGACCAGCAGGCAAATAGATTTCAAAACCGGCATCAATCACCATCCAAGTGAGCATTAACTACTATGCATGTATCGCTTACCAGCTAGTGATGTCTCGCAGCAACGGAGGGCATAGCTTAATGTCGCAAAGATTTTTGAAATGACTGATGCAGACTGGGCTGCAACTCCCCACGCTTGCTGCTGACAGATGGTGAAAATCGTTGGAGCGGCCAGACTGAGGCTTGACATTGATTACCTGGGAATCTGGAACGAGAGATCATCTGACAGCAATTTCGCTTCGTGTCTGAAGTGATGTATGGTGCGCACACAGTGAAGCCCCAGCTTGGTGTAAGTCTCCGTGCCAAAGATCTTCTGCTGTTATTGATGTCGTGCAGGTGTTAGTGCGTTTCGGCAGTTCCCCGCCTAGGTGCAAGTCTTGAGAAAATCCTTGAATGAAGCGGGGCACACCAGCTGCTCGCAAACAAGTGGATTCACATGTTATATCGTGCGGTAACTGATATGATTCTTCATCTTGACATAGTTTCTGTATTTTTTTCGCAATTGCCTCATGGTTTGTTCGCACTCTCGGGGGCACAGAATCTGGGTTGGCACGTAAGAAGCACCTTAGAAACAGTGACACTCATGCACCAAAGTTGGACATTGGTTTCAAGGTCATGCCGTTTTACTTGTGAAGCATTCCCCCCATTAAGTTTGGGAACAGTCGTTTGGCGACGGCCCCTAAGGAATTCTAAAGGCAGGACTTTGGGATTTCCAGATCAGAGCACGCCATTATCAGGCTGCTGCCTTGTTCTTATTCCGTACTAGACAAGAGTCCCCGCTCTAGTCCGTACTCTTTTAATATTCCGCATTGCCAAAAGTGCGCTCTATTCCGGACCCCTTTAAACATCAGGTACAAAGCTAGTGGTGAAAGACGGTGACATCGGCATCTGCAACGATCTGCTGAAGGACAAGGCGTATGCAGATGCGGTGGACATCGTGGGTGTGCACTATCCCAACGATTTTGCTGATTTCTCAGACGCTCCGCTTTCAACATTATTGCGGTTTGTTTGGATTTGCTTGTCATCAAGCACGCTGTGGAGAAATGGGCTCCCCTATCACAGCCAGAACAAGGTGCGAGTCCCACGGTTTCATGCCTGCCTCAACATCATCGAACCAATTTGTGTACATCCAGTCTCGCACCTTTAAACAGGTGAAGCCGTAGCCACCCACAGTTCCTTCAATGCTTACAAGACGTAGACGTAGTGCATGCTGCGTCCGTAGGAAAAAGGCATCTGACAAGTGACCTAAAGATGAGGGACAAAGCTGTCAACTCCATCACTTAGGCATGCCATCAGCTGGCCAAGCCTCTTTGGGCTTCAGAGGAGAGATATTTCTGGGCAGTTGTTGCAACTTGTTCCGGCTTCCTGCAAGCAGCTGCTTGTGGCTTTCTGGGGAGTTTTGTTAGAAAGCGTGGAAGTACAAGAAGGCAAGACAGGTCTTCCCGCAGCCAAGACAAGCCAAGCCGCGTAAACTCAAAGCACCGAACTGCCAGTGAACGTTCTTTGTGGATCTTGGTGGAATTCGGCCGCCCTTAGAGGAGTCCTCATCTTATGACGACATGAATGGCGCAGCTTGCTGGGGACGTGTCATAAATTCTCACTGGGTTCTCAACAAGCTGCTTGGTGCCTACTTACAACCTCTCGGGGAGTCAGGAGGATGTGGGCGTGGCCTGCAAACATTGAGTTGATGCGAGAAGGGTTTGTAGCCGTGGGTATGCTTCTGTGACAACAGCCCATAACAGCCCTTTGCGACAAGCCTTTCTTTGGTGACTTCGTAAATTTGGCCCAACCCTGTGACATCCTGCGACAAAGGGGCTTGAGGCAAGCAGCAAAGGTTTGTGGCAGTGGGAGGGAGGGGAGGCGACAGGCTGAGGCCCATTGCAGCGTTGTCGTAGCCAGGTGGACTGCAAACTGCCAGCGGAGTTTAGCAAAGATACAAAAGCAAGAGCAGGGAAGGCCAGTACATGACACAGCATCGACGAGGCTAAGTGGAGCAATCTGTGAGACCAGGCTCATTGTTTGACATGCTTGCTGATCGGATAGTCATGTAGCGTGCACTCTCGCTGGAATTTTCCTTGTTTCTTTGGGCACAGGCACAGGTCTTGTTTACTTAGTGTTTCCCGCCCAGCTGACGGCAAAAGCATTATGAAGACTTTCCGCGAATCACCAGGTTTTTGCGAGAGAAAGCGTTGCTTGTAGCTGAGGATGACAGCTTCCATAATGTGGAACTTGGTAGGCCAGGACCTCATGGCCAGATGCTATTCAAAATCAGCATAGAATTCGGGAACTGCTGCTTGCAGGTGCTTATTACCATGGCACCAATTGGTATGCCAGCTCCATGCTGACTTCTGTTGAACCATGGAGCGGGCATTATGAGGTGAACCCAGTGATTTGGGCCACAGCGCAGCTTGGCAGAGAAGGCAGGTTGAAGCGCCTTCTGGCTTCTGACATGTGCTTTGGATCCGAGGCATGTCACTCAGTTTACGAAAATCGGATGGCGTTACCTGGTGAACGGGTCGGGGTCGGGTGAATTACCTCGTGGAGGATATTTTGCAACGTGGGTGGACCCCTCCTCCACAGACTTCACCATGAACTTTGTGAAGATCTCGCGCACAGCCCTAAGTTGCACAGCCTTCGTGAGTACAGCGATCAAATGTCGAAAGTATGCCCCCCCTCATAGGAGTCCTTGAGCTTGGGTCTTTATATGCCCTACATGTAGATTTGTGATATATTCAAGAGCCCGTAATGCGTGCCTATGGTTTAAGCCTTAGACGTGAGCTGCATCCATTCAAAAGTGCAGGCGATCACGCCTCCTGCACAAGGCCACATTTGCCTACCTTCCAAACATCAGAGGCCACTGTGCTTAGAGCTCTCAAATAGCGATGTAGATGATGCATTTGGTGTAGTCGCGATTTGGGAGCCAATCTGGATTGAGTCGACTGACGAGGAGAATGTGACCGTCCTCTTGGCACCTTCCATGCGCCCGCCTGCAGAACTCGAGGTATGGCATCGTGCTCTAAAGCTTTTAGTTGGGTAGAAATCCCAGCGTGCTTTCAAACCCATGTGCAGACGGGCAGGCTTGTACATAACTTCTAGCTCCTCGCTGCGAAGGTATTCCAACTTCGAGGCGTATGGCAATGCGGAGCCGCCTCTCTTCCAACATTCAACAGTCCAGGTGCACAACAACAAATTCTCCCTTCACATTCCGGTTGGCGCAATGATTACCATCACGACCATCAAGACTGGTGGGAAGGGAAGCTTCCAACACATTCCGCCCTCGTCGCCTTCCTTTCCTTTAGACTATGTCGACGATTTCCAATCCACAGATGATTCCCGCAATGCCAGGCAACTTTGATACACCTGCCGTCCGAGCCTCAGTTTTGAGTTGGGTCGGCTGCTGGTCTTCTGGCAGGTGGTTTGCAGACCAGATCGGGTCCTTCGAGATTCATCGCGCTGAGGATGGCAAGCGGAGTCTCAGGCAGATGGCGGCCTGGCTTAGCATTTGCGTGGTCCGCATTTTGTCCATGGCTTCACGCCTTCCTAAGCTGCATGGTGGATGCTGGTGTAGTGTCAGATTGGGGCGCATGAGCGCCAGCAGCATGCGAACGGAGTATGTATGTACGGATTCCTCCGGTTTATCCCAGTCGGCAAACGGGAATACGTGGCAGGAAGGAGGTAAATCAAGAATATCAGGCGCGAACGCCTATTAATGTTACCATGACAATAATAACCCACCCCCCCCAAGAAATTGTTTTGCAATCCGGGCTTATGGAAGGGGGGGGGTCGTAATAATACATGACGGGGGTGGCGGTAGGACTAGGTAGTGCAGCTCGTAGTACCAGTAGTACAAGTAAGAGGAAATCTAGTGAAATCGGGATATTTCGGGCCGGAAAAAATATTGTTATTGCCACCCCTTTATTATTGCCGATGGACCTTGAGTAGACCTTGTCGGGCTCCAAACTTGTTAGAAAGCAAATGTGATTGTCCGGGATTTTCCCGGCCCGACAACAAAACGCTATTGTCACCCCCTTTATTAATGCTATGTTAACATTACAAGACTTATATGCTCTACGCACTTGCGTATTCCCTCCGGCAGCCATTTTTTGTGAACTTGCCCATGGCTACAAGAAGTAGGGCCTTTGACGTTGAAGTTCTTGCGTTGTTCAAGAATTAGAGGTCAGTGTTCACTGCAAGATCTGCAAGTGCAAGTACATCTTCTGTTTGTAGACCTGAGCGCAACCGCAACAGGTCACAAGCAAAGCAGTTGCTGTGGGCCCACTTGCTGCAAAGCCAGTCTGCTAAGTCTACTAGATGCCCTACGTAGACTTGTAGGCTTTGAACCGTGCAAGGGACCAGCCGTTTGGTGCTTGGACAAGCTGATTGTTTTTCCGCTCATCTGCCCTGCCCACGAAATCAGAAGTTCTTCCAGCTGATGAAAAGTCTACTGGCCTTGCATGCCCAGGTAACCCAACTACCAATTGGCTGGAGTGACAAGGGTTCCAGGGGACCCATGACACTCATCGGCATGCGCGAGTGGCAAGATATCAAGGTCCGGTTGCAACCAAAGTTGATCCAAATCTCGTATCTCATCTTGAATCTTTCTTTTTTACCCTTCCACATTCATGGCTAATCTAGCTCGTCCAGGTCCAAGTTTCATTCAGACTGCCTGCAGCGTCGGCAAAACGATCACCCGCAGATGCCGCATGTGTGGGAGTTCGTGTGGATCAAATGTGGCAGAATGGTGTGGTATTGTGCAACTTGGCCCACGTAGATGCTTACTGTGACATTGTCCGGTCAGCAGAGCATCCATAGACCATTACCAGGACATCATCCCAGTGCTGGAAGTGATTGCCGGGGGATGGGGGTGTTCAAATAAGTGCATGTTCTGCACTCATTCGCTTAGTCTTTCCACAGTTGGTGAGGGTACTTGGAGAGCTGTATTTTTCGAGCCACTGCTCTTTCTCTTTTCCATGACAAGCAGCTTTATTGGTTCCCTTTGCCAGAACGACTTTGGTACAATTATTGCAGAATATTGCCAGACCTGCGGGTGGTAAAGTTGATTGGATGCTGGATTACGGTTTGCCAAGACGGAGGCAGGTAAAGCAAACACACATGTCCCATGTTCAAGCCTTCGTTATTGTGAATCCGCCGGTGTGCCGACAACTGTCTTGAGCTGACTGCGCATCAACGGTGGCACAGGAGGAGGGTTATTTGGCTCTGTGCCGCTCCGCACTTTCTTGTTAATCGCACATAATTGCGGAAGGCTGCAAGCAGTGAAATCGTCATCCTCTGCATTCATCCGACACATCGGACATACCACGTAACTCTGATGAAGCACAAAGCTAAGCGAGCAAAGCGCACAGACATGCACTTTTCCATGCGCGAACGAATCAACTCAAGGAGCCCCTGAGGAAAAGGCAGCGGCACACACAACAGGATGAAGCTTGGCCAAGGAATTCTACCCCGCAGCTAGAGTTAAATTGTCGCGGGTAATATTTTAAGTTGGCCTAAACGTCATCCCTGAGTGTCACCACTGGCTTCTGGAGCCACGTGTGGAGCATCAGCTGCAGTTCTGCACTGTGCTTGGTGAGCCCATCTGCCCACTGGAGAAAGGTGGGCACCCACCGGATGCGTTCGGCATCCACAACCTCTTGAATTGCCCTCACATTCACAAGGGACCTCTTATCAGTGAGGTTGGGAGTCTCACTCACTACCACATCGTACAGAGACTTAGCATCCACGACGTGGAGATGAAGAAGTCAATGTGAGCAGCGATGAGCAGGAAGGTTGTACAGCAGCTCTGCGATGAACATGTTCAGGTAACATCCCCGGTCGCAGCCCTCATCGGCGGCGCTTGCCTCCGCCGCTGAGGTCGAGCGGCAGACGCGTGTCGAGCGCCCCGAGCGCCAGTCAAGTACAGCCGCAGGCGTTGTCTTCTGAAGCGCGTTGGGCGAAGTCAGCAGAACCAACACTCCAAGCTGCGAGCGGCACAGTTCGGCATTGGCCCATGAAGTGTCGGAGTAGGTCACGATGACGCTGCCGCGATTCAAGGCCACATCCTCGACAACGATGCCGTCGTTCTTCGTGGACCGGGCGAACTCGAGAGCCTGGTAAAGGGACTTCAGGTCGCCCACGGTGGTCTTGTCACCTTTGTTCGCCAAGCTGTTCGTGGCGGAGAGCTCTGGCCTTGTCTGAGTCGAGAGCCACTGCAGGCATCCGGAGATGCTACGGAACTCAGCCTTCTGCTCGGGGGAGAGGATCGCGTCCAAGTCAGCACCTCTTGGGATCTTGCCCATGGACAAGCCGTCGATGAACTCGGCCTGGCAGAGGTGGAGGTAAAAGCGTCCGTTCGGGCGCTGCCGCAGTGAAATTTGTTTGCCTTTGAAGGTAAACTCCTTGTCGGGCTCGACTTGGTTAAGGGAGCCCCACTTAAAGGACTGCCAGACAGGCCCGATCGAACAATTCTCCCTGTGGACGCCGAGGAAGTCGTCGACGTATACTAAAATGATCGAGATCAGCTCGTCTTGATCATTGAAGAGGAGGAAGACCATTCGGTCAAAGGAGTGCTGCCTGTATCCAAGTTTCTTCAGCCTCTGTATCACGGTGTTGGCCCAAAGGCGTGGTGCATTTGCGAGCCCATAGATGTTGGTGAGGGCCAGGTACAAAGGCGCTTTCCAGCGCCCGGTAGAACGGGTCACTCCATCATCCGGCGGCTTGAGGTAGAGGGGCAAGGTCCTCTCAGTTGCCGGCTGCTCCCCTTGCAAGAAGGCGGTGGCAGCATCCCCCGTCCAACCGAACCACTTCTTCTTGGTGTTGCCGAACTCCTTGTTGCTGCCTGCGGTCAGGACAAGGAACAGCACATGCTCGCTGGTCCTGTTCGGGGTTGGGCACTCCCGATTGAGCCGTCGAAGGTCAGGATCACAATGTCCCAAGGCCACCACGCGGCATTTTGCCCGCAAGGGCCCAAGCCCCTTTGCGTCCTAAGCGCACGCTTGGCGAGGATCTTGTCTTTCAAGACGTCGCTCGCCTCCTGGTGGCTGAGGGCCTTCACTGAACGCCACTCCATCCAAGAAGAATGCTCCTTCTCGACCGTTTTCTTGTAGGCCTCCAGCTGAGGAGGCCGCGTTTCCATGATTTTGCGCCATGGAATCTCACGGTCCAAGGCCTTGGCCTCCATGCAGGACATGAGCTCGAAGTCGGCGGGGCATCGTCCCAATCGGAGTCGGAGGTGTCGACTTTTTGAGCGGGCTTGTCGGTGGCCAGCACGTCGTCGCTCCGATATGATGAGGTGAGGTATGAGGTGAGGTAGGCCTGGTAGAACTGGTTGCAGCGCGGGCCGTAGAACTCGCCGAGGGCGTCTCCGAAGGGAACTGGGTGAAGAAGTCCGTCTTCCTCGTAGAGGTTGGCGCTCAAGGAGTCGAAGGTGGAAGTAGGCTGGGAGCAGTAACTCCTGAAGCTGCTGAGCTGGTCATCGGTGTAGTAGGTACCCTAAAGGTCGTAGAAGCCGAAGGTGGTGCTGCCTGTCCAGAGTCCCGCCGGTGTAGGTGGCTGTGGTCCAGCTGAAGCGGCCGGGGTTTCAGGTAGGTCAACTGCAGGAGAAGGAGCGTAGTGGCGTAGTCGCGGACATCGTCAGGTGGGTCACCAGGTGTCGCGGTGTCCGCGTCTCCAGTGAGGTCGACTGCTGTCTCCAAAGCTGGTGGTTGTACTTGGCCTTCTTGAGGTTGGGGAAGTTCTGGTAGTCCAGGAAGTTCCTCGAAAGGCGCGCTGAAGTCGGGAGAGAGCAGTTCGGGAAGTCGCTCTGCAGGTTGAAAAAGCTGGAACTTGGCCTTCTTGAGGTTGCGGAAGTTCTGGTAGTCCAGGAGGTAAAGCAGGTCTAGGCGTCGATGCTATGGTCAGAGGCGCTGGTGACCGGCTTCTCCGTGGTGTCCTTGGCATAGAGTTGCTTCGGCGTGCTCCTTGCCCAACGTCTCCAAGGCGAGCATACACATAGGTGTTGTTGATGGTACCGGACAGCTGCGCTTGCGCTTGAGGTGGTTCAGGTGCCGGAACTGGCGTTCCAGGGGCCCACGAAGCAGCTGCGTCAAGTCGTTGTTGGCCGGCCAGTTGTGAAGAAGCAGCGGCAAGGAGCTCGTTGTCAGCCTGGTAGTTCATGAGGAAGTCGTCTTCGCCAAGAACTTGATGGAGGGGCTGTGCTTCAAGCATTTCTTCTTCCAAAAGCAGCATGGGCTGCCTGGCTCCAAATCTGGGATTCGGAGGTTTCTTGAAGAATCGCACGTCTGATGGACTGTTGCACGTTCAAGTCTGCGATCGCCTTGACCGCCTCCGAGCGCACCCTTTCTGCCGTTGCTGCCGGGTCGGTCGTTGGGGAGACCGCCAGTGCCTGGTTGTCCACGAAGCCGGGAAGCGCTGATCTGCCCCTGCTAAGTACCATGCTGTTAACGGCATGGAGCGACGGAGCGATGAGCAGGTCCATCTCTGAAGCCGAGGTCGCGGAAAAGGTGTCCACCAACTTCTCGAGGATGGTGCGCAGCAAGGCGTTCTGGCGCTCCACGTGGGCAATCTTCCATTCCAGTGTGCCTCAGGCGGGCAATGCTCCACCAACGTGCCATGTGACTCCAAGCGGTTCTGGAAGTCACCTTGAAAGCATCCATCCGGGTCTGCCGCCACCAGGGTAGGAAGTCCGTAAGGGCGAAGCCAAACTCGTTCAAAGGCCTCATAGGCAATCTCTGGGGTGCGGCCAGAAAGGACAGCAGCCTGATGAAAGCGCGTCGCCACATCCACCATGCCAAGCACCATCACGTTCTCGCCGTCCAGCTTCCTGACATAGAAGATGTCGAGCTCGACTCGTCACCAAACTGGGTCACAGAAGAAGGTGCAGCAGAAGGTGGTGGTGCTTGTGGTGATTTGAGGCGGTCGCAGGTCGCACACTTAAGCTTGCGAATGGCCGAGATGAAGTGTGCGGAAGGGTTGCCTTGGTGACATGCCAGTCTGACCAGTTCCTCGGCAGTGGGGTGTCCAAGGTTGATTGCACCCGTGCGATAGCCCGGCGAACTTCCGCAGGGACGTCGGCTGAAAGTGCAGGAAAGGTGACGTCGGTGGGGAGGTCCGGAATCGGAGAGTCAGGCTTGCCCTCCACAATCGAAGGTTGTGCTTCAGGACGTCTTTCGCCATATGCGAACACTGCGTACCGGACTGCCTTAGCGAACTTCTGCTTGGGCTGCTGGATCTCGGAGAGGTCTTCCATCTCCACGCTGCGCGAGCCGTCCGCATAAAGAAGGAAGGCGCTGCGAACTGTGAAGGGGAAGTCCAGCAGAAGGCGGCGCTGTGTAGGAGTCTGCACACAATATACGAACCAGGTTCATCCTGAGGAGGCCGCCGATGTTCTTCCCACATCGCTGTCCACGTCCACGTAGAAAGGCCTCGTCGAGCTGGTGCCGAAATAGCGTTCAAGCATCGTCACGATGGGGTCCCAGGCGGCCAGGTCGGAGACCGGACTTTGGAAAGTAGCCAAAGCTTGGTGCAAAGGAAATCGCGTGATATCCTGGTATCTGATGTGGTCGTGGTAGAGGTGGAGGAGAGCATCGACCAGCTTCTGAGGGTAGACCTGGGATGGTTTGGTGTTCTTGCCCTGCACCGGCACTGTGTACATGCGCTCTGTCTCCGAAAGGCGCTTATTGAGCATGGTGGCTGCGCCTGGAATGTTAGTGAGGAACTTAAAGGGCTTGATGATCGGCTCGCCGTCGACTGTGGTGCCCGTAGGCGCCTGAGTCAAGGATGCACTCCACGATGCCGGGGAAGTCGAGGTCGCGAAACTCGTCCATCTCCCAGAGCCGCGAGTGCCGCGGATTCTCTAGCACAAAGGCGCGGCCGCCATCAAGCTGAAGGTCCAGCAGCTTGCGAATGAGCCGCCTCATCTCCGTATCATCTTGCCGTAGGCGATGAAGCACGGGCATGCGCTTGCTGTAGTTGAGGTTCTCGTTAAAGATGGAGTACAGGGTGCAGGGGTAGGCCGGGTAGGCCACGTGGAGGACATGGGGCCGCAGCCGCTTGACCATCTTAATGACATAGTCCTGGGTCTGCGGTTCCTCGAGGTGCCATCCAAAGACCTGGTCAACGGGCTCTGAGGCACTGAGTCCATAACGGGATGCCTTTGCAGTAATGCCGGCCTCGCCGGCGAACAGCTCCATGATGTCGACGGCAGGCGGTGGTCTGCTGGAGGTTGACAAGAGGCTGTCGTAGATCGCCGCTCGCGGTCCAGCACGCCTGCCGAGCGGGCCCAGTTGCCACTTAGTCGTCTCCGTCTGCCCAGTCGTATTCCGTCTCCGGAGGAGGGTTGTGCAGCAGTCTCCACGGTGTCGAGTCCGACATCTCCGAGCCACTCGGCATAGAACGGGTTGTGCGGCGCCTGCGTGCGGGAGTTGTCGAAGTCCTCGCCGGTGTCGCCGGTGATGCCTTGGGTGTCGTGCCTTGGGGCTTGGAAGGCCGCCGGGTCGATGGTTCCGCCGCCCGCGAAGGCACTGCTTGGGCTGGCGCAGTATTGGATGAGGATGGCAAGGGCGGTTGCGAATTGAGCAGCGATGCCCCGAACTTGTTGTCCAGGTGTTCGACCCACAGACCTTCGTGGGCGTTCCACTTCCATCTCTTCAGGCACTGTTTGCAGCGAGCGAACTTGCCGTACGCGTTGCCGTACCGGACATAGTCGGGGTGGCTGCAAGTTGCCGCGGGATGCGCGAAGTTCACGTCGAGCTCCGGCGGCACGTCCAGGTAGATCTCGGGCGTCAGGAGGCCGAGGTTCACCGCATGGGCCATCTGGATGAAGACATTGTGCTTGAGGAGCTGGAGGCAGCGCACCAGGCGGCGCCATCCGCGAAGCCATGTCGGAGGAGTCGCCTGCATGAAGTGCCAGGCTCGCTGAGGACGAAGTGTCAGTAACAGCTTGGGCCAGAAACACGAGCTCCGGAGGAGGATTGAGCCAATCAACTGCATCTTGAAGCTGCTTCCATCTAGTGCTGTCAGAGGGAACGTGCTTGCTAAGCTCGACCACTGAGATAGTCAAATGTCCGTTCTTGCGAAGCACAGGCACTGTCACACCTAACTTGGTGAACGTGGCAGAGGACCTAGGCATGTCAAGCACGAACCCGAGCTCATCAAGCAACTGATTGGACGCAAGCAGGGGAATGTTTGCTTCGAGGACGCCTGCTCCGATCACAAGGTCGGCTTCGCCTATGCCAGCTGGCATGTACAAGCGGTGCTTGGCTCTCACCGGGTCGCCGCTGCCAAACTGAAAAGCATTTGTGCAAGGGGCTCTGTACACAAGCAGGTCCTGAGCACGAAGAAGAGAAGCATGCGAAGTTGCCCATGTGGTCCCGCAGCAGGTCCGCTGGCAGGCCGTGTCGAGGATCATGAGGCCGGGGAAGTTCACGTCGCCGTCGGTGGCGTGCCGCACGTCAAAGACCACGTCGACGCTGAACATCGTGCCATAGGTGGCGTCGTCAACGACCTCGAGGGAGCCGTGCTCAACATGGTGCACGAAGTACGTTTGGTGCGGTGTCTTCTTGGCTCCTTTCCCAGGCTCTTGTCCTTTGGTTCCGCCTGCCGGTGGAGCTGCGCCTTTCCCAGACACCTTGCACTCGGGGTCGCCACGCCAGTGACCCTTTTCCCCACAAGCTGCGCAGTGGGTTTCCTTTTTTGAGCCCTCCGGCGAACTTCCGGCCGAGTCGCATGCCGGACAACTTTTTAGCTGTCACGCTCAAAACTTCTGCCACCTCCGCCAAGTCCGCGGCCTCGTCTTGGTCCTGGTCGCCGTCGTTGACGTTGCCGGCGTCAGCGTCGTCGGCAGCGGCGTGGTCCGGCTTGTGGTCACCGCCCGAGCCCTCAGCAGACTCGTGCTCCTGTTCGGCCTCGCCCTCTTCCGCCTGGTCCGCCAAGTAAACCTTTTTGGTGAAGCCAGTCGGTTTGCCGCCTTTGCCGCCATGTCCGGAGGAGCTTGGTGGCTGGCCCTTGCCTCTCCCCTTGTTCCGGTTGATAGGTTGCCCATCTCGGCCGATGACAGGAGGGGAGCCTTTGAAGTCCGGAAACTGCATGGCCATACTCTCGGCGACGTCCTCGAAGGCCAGGGAGTAACGACAGCCCACGAGGATGAGCCGCTGGTCCTGGGGCGTAAGACGAGCCCTCTCCAGAAGCCTATTCCCACGAGCTTCGCTGTCGTACATCAGAGCCACTTCGATGCCGACCGCTTTGAGGTTGCGCTCAATGCGGCGGTATCTGTTGCTGAAGGCCTTGAGGCCCTCGCCCGGCTGCCGCTGGATGCCTTCAAAGTCTGACAAAAAATTGCGCTTCTGGAAGATCTGCTTCTGCTCCATTGGCTGGCGCAAGGTTTCGAGTATAAGATCTACCCCCTTATCGGAGTTGATAGATTCTATTGAAGCGTGTTCCAGCTCCGCCTCCGCTTCTCCTGTCAAGCTGGTATACAAGACAAGAGCTGCCTCCCTTGGAGTCATAAAGGAAGCCACTTGAATACGCCACAAAGCAATCTTCTTGGCAAACTTGCTGTAGGCCCGCAAGTCATTCTGCTCGTACTTCCAAAGTGGTGGCGCTGGCGGGGCTTCGCCCCTCCATCTCACTCCCCGGGTCGGTCCCATCATGGAATTCCAGCTAGTAGAGGACGAAGAGGAGGTTGCCACCTGGGAAGTCATGACCTGCTTGGTGTCCAGCTGTGGCTTGGCTGGTTTCCGAGCCGCAGCTCTTAGCCTTTGACTTGGCTGCCTGTGCACTTGCCGTAGGCGGTGTCGCTGGGCAGGAGCTGGGTCGAGCCGTAGGTCTCCAAGTCGTGCCGCCATGTCCGCCGAAAGCAGGTCGAGGAGGTCCATCCAACTCGTCCGGGTCCATGGTGGGGTCGAAGGTAGCAGTCTCGGACTCCGGCATTTCGAAGCCATCGGAGGGAGGTCCATCAGGAGGTTGCCCCCGACGCAGTGCTCGGTTGAACTGCTGCCTTTGGCGTCTGGAGATAGGTGCAGCCTGCCCTTTGTCAGGGGGATCGCGAGGAGGTACTTGTCCAGGAGGTCCTTGTCCAGGAAGTCCATTAAGAGACCTAGGCAGGAACATCCAGGTGCCGCGGTCCGTCTGGCGGCGCAAAGCTTGGTGCGTCGAGTAGAAGTCGGTGCTTTGGCAGACCGTGCAGCTCCACTGGCCTTCGCCAGTCTGCACAGCCATATCGGAGTCGCAGCGAACGCATCGCCACTCATAGCTGCCCTGGATCACATTCGAGGCCGCTTCCCTTTCCAAAGCTTCTAGCCAGGGATCGTTGCCGTCATGGACTTCAGGGGGTTCATCTTGTCCATGGAGATCTTGATCGGCGGAGTCATCCGGAGGTCCATCTTGCCCGTCGAGGCGGAAGATTTCCGGGATCCGCGGCATGATCAGGTCGAAGTCGATGAAGGCGCGAAGGCCGAAGGTCAGGAGGTCAAGCGGCCACGGAAACGAGGCTCTGGTGCCAACTGATGAAGCACAAAGCTAAGCGAGCAAAGCGCACAGACATGCACTTTTCCATGCGCGAACGAATCAACTCAAGGGGCCCCTGAGGAAAAGGCAGCGGCACACACAACAGGATGAAGCTTGGCCAAGGAATTCTACCCCGCAGCTAGAGTTAAATTGTCAGTAACAAGATTGACAAACACGCAAGAACTCTAGCCGCTTCTCTGCTGAACAGAGCCACCATCAGGGCCCGCCCAGGGCTGGTCTGAACTCACAGACCTGCTCGCCATGCTCCAAAGAGCATGAGACTAAAGGAGTGCATGTGCAAACAACTGCACTTTGGCCGCCTCTCAAGGATCCGGCCAACAACCAGTCTGCATGCTGCGCGGTCCTTTGTCTTGCTGTTCAACGTTGCACCGCCAAGTTGTTCAGGGCTTGAGAATTGGGATCTTGCAGGTACCCTTCTTCAGGTAACCATGATGCCATAGAGAAATTCCAGGGTAAAGCTCCATGACCTGCCGCCCTTCTGCAAAACCTCTCTGAAGAACATCATGAAAAAGTGTAAGAAGGCTCATGCTCACTTGCCTCACATTTGTCATGAGAGGTTTTCAAGCTTGGCAAAAGCCGTCATGAGAAAGTCGAAGTGCAACGTAGGAAGTGCTTTCACTAGCCATGGTGTATCATGGTGCAATGCCAGCACAACACAGGTGGAATACCAGCTGCTGGTAGCACTACCCAGGTGCTCCCAAACAGTGCAGGCATAGGCGATGGTTCTGATACAGCTCAGGCACATCCCCTTTGCTCACACAGCTTCAGCTACACTCCCTGCATGCGCTAGACAAGATAGATGTGTCATCTTTGTGCAATCCCCTTGCTAACACTGTATTCTCACGCATGTGCGCACATAAACGTGCTAATTAAGCAATCAATTGATCAATCAATCGCATCAGGTCATTTTGAGCTGGATAGCGGACATAAGCCCCGTCCAGCTTCGTGTAGGTCAGCCATCCAATCCTCTCCAGCTTCCTTGCTCGAAGCCCAAGCAGCCATAGAAGCAGCAAGCCGCAAGCCCCAGCTAAGGTCTGAGAAGGTGTAAAAAAAAGCATGCGCACTGCACACCCTGTTCGGTCCAATGCTTTCATCAACCTCGGCGGTGCTCATGCTCGCGCCAAGTCACTTGCCGGACGGCACAGGACGGCCTGGGCCTCCGCGGGGTTCTCATATTCAGACTCGCACAGCAGCTCTACCATCGAAACATAGATGCTTTCGAAAGGCCTTCTGCAGCAACTGCGGGAAGTTGCAAGACCAGAACCTGGGGCGGGCGTCAAAATGAATCAAGCAGAAATCAAGAAAGGATAATCACCTAAAAGGGGGGAGGCTGATCGTACTTTATTGGGCAGTGGAAAGACGCCAGCTATCTTCAAGCTAGAAGATGACGCAACAGCAGAATCCTGATAAACCTTCAACTGCTGCCATATTCTTCGATGGTCAGTTGGGGCTGCAACCAGACTATTCCAGAAGCAGCAGCCCTTCCAGACCTGTGCAATATCTGACGACTCTCCAAATGCTGCCACATTCTTCAGCAATCGAGGGGTCACGCTGGCCCTGCCAGGCGAAGAGTGACGCTTCTTCTGAATCTTCAAGTGGCCAGCCACATGTTGGAGCAGCATTGAAGACGTTTATATAGAGTGCAGGCCTCTGTCACATTGCTAAGCACCCCAGGGGCAGAGGCCCAAACATGCCGCCGTCAGAGATGAAATGAAAACAGCAAGGACGACAATCGGCAATCAATGACAGTGCTAATGGAGAAGCATCTGGAACTACCACCCATTTTTTCGCCGAGATAGCTAAGTTCGTCGTGAGGGGTGGAAGTGCATGACCCCCACTTTCCGCACAAGCCGAACTTTTCTGAATCTGGCTTCATTTTCGAAAGTACGCGGGATCCTGAAAGGAGAACTCATGATCAGCAAAGTTTGTTGCAGTATGCCCAAGGTATCAACCGCGAAGGTCACTGGACGTTGACGAACTCTGGTCCCCTCCTTCAAGGCACCGCAAATGTTCACTCAGCCAGCTGTGAGCATATATGCAAAGGCTTCGAGCGTTGATCAACAGCCCTGCAAGGCTCCTCTGCGCCAGCACCGACGCCTATTGCTTCAGGATCAACGACGGCTGCAGGCGACGGCTGGCACACGCTCTCCTTGGAAGTGGTCCTCTCCAAGGTAGCCTGCTGCTCCTGCTGTGGTGGTGGTGGTGGCGGTGGTGGTGGCGGCGGTGGTGGTGGTGGTGGCAGTGGTGGTGGTGGTAGTGGTGGTGGTGGTGCTGCTGCTGCTTGCTTGTGCTGATGGTTTTTGGCAGCAGGGGCGGGCCTCGGGATTGTCATCGCAAGTGTTTTCTTGTTTTCTGGAGATCCAGGCCCACGGCACTTTGGATGGAGATCAGCTGGTGACAAATATCCCAGTGCGAGATTTGGACACAGGCCGCGGGCAACCAAGTACCGATGCAAACGTTGGCTTCGAGGTTCGGAGGTTTGGGCAGACAGAAGTCAGACAGACATTTAAACCAATTTGCGCATCAAAGCCCACCACGTGAGGTTCTGCTCTCGTTTATGTTGATTCCGTTCACCATTGCTTTTTTGCAATGAGTGCAGAAGCCTTGTTCGGATTTGGGCAGCTTGGGCAGGCTTTGCGGCCATTGGAGCAAACGGCTGGTTCCCTGTTGAGTTCCGCAACTTTTCTTCCAGCAAGGCAGGATCTGTGGGGATCCTCATTCTGTGCACTTTTCGATGTTGCTCTGAGTTCGAACACCTGCAGGCGAAGGGAGGCTGGGATCCACCAGCAACTTGCACTACGCCTGTACCGGGAGCAGTTCTCACGTCACGGCCTTGCAGCCGCAACGGCCGCGTGGTGGAGGAGAGCCAACTTAGAGGGACACTATCGCTATTGTCAAATCTTGTGTTTGAGATCCTCTTCCTGCGGCACATGACAAACCGTGCTGGCAATGCTCGGTCGGAGGACCAGGCATGGAACCTGCTTCCCTCCTACCAATTACAGCACATCTCTTCAGGCCATTTGCCGGCTTTGCTGATGTGTGATGGTTGATGGAAACAGGTTGTTCACTGCTATGGCGCCTGATCCTGTGAAGGTCTCTGTGCAACCGCGAACGGGTCTGGGCCTGTGGCGCTTGAAATATGTGACTCAGTCGAGACCAATGATACACAGACAGCGTTGCTTCGGGCTCAATGTTAGCTACATATCGTGCAGGACTTCAGTTGGTGGGTGATGTGGGTGCTTAAGCACGTGTGAGGATTCTTTGCACCTCAGGGCTAGGGCTGGCCGGAGAGCTCCCCTTGTTTTCATAGTAGGCATAAAGTAGATTTCCATCGCCTCAGCGGAGACAGGCTGCCATCGAACGTTGTCACAGCCTCCGAAGCCAGCACAGAAGCGGGTGTGGACAAGTGAGCGGAGCAGGTGTGATCGCCAGGGAACCTCACGCCTGCGTTAGGTGCAGAAGAGAATGGTCAAGCTGAAGAAACAAGAGGAGCACCATCAACAGATGCACCTGATTGCCTGAAACGTAGCACAGGAAAACTGAACTCAGAAAATGACCGCAAGCCCTGGACAAACAAGTATCCTCCTAGCAGTCCTAGCAGACCACTGTGGCAGGGTGATCGGGGCCGAGGTAATGTCACAAAAAGCACGCAGCAGTTCGTGAATGACTACACCCTCGTTCGCAATATGCCGGTGGAGTTCAAGTCAGTTTCAGCGCAGCCTGGACTTGCTTTAGGCTGCCTTGTCTCGCAGAGATACGGGCCATGGAAGTCTGTGTGCCTACAAAACATGAGGATGAAGCCATTGGTCGGAGACAAGTCCGGTTCCGTATCCGTGGGCCCGGGCGGTGACTGGGCGAAGTGGACCTACTTCCCGAAACTAGGCTTTGAGTGGCACAGAAAATTTGTTGGGTTCATGAACGACTGATGTCATACAGTTCTCGCTGGGGTCCCTCCCAAAGCCCTGTTTACTGTGACGCAGTTCCATTTTGAGCACTGTGCTTGTACGAGTGTGTCTAGGAACACGAAGCAGCTACGGAACCAGTACGTTGCGGAAGTCAACTTGGGATATCCCATGTGCTTGTCGAGTTGCCCGAAGCGGACAGTGGCAAGCCAGCATGCTGTCATTTTCCAGTAGATGCCCAAAGCTTCTGTTGAGTGGAAGCTCGAATATTTCCTTGGTCAGAAACTATAGGGCATCACCACGTGTCCAGAGGGTGCTTGACCCTTTGCCCAATTTTGTTGGCTCATTTCCTGCAAGCCAGATTTGAAAGCGGGCAAGACATGGGCCTGTTATGCCGCACGCAAGAAAAGCTTTCCCATGCAGTGAGCGAAAGCTTCAATTTGCCTCTGCTGCCTCTGCACTCACTGTTGTCATGATGCAGCAGGATTCCTGCGAAGCATTCGGCTTCGTGAAGTAAGGAGAACATTTTGCAGACGTACCCATAGTCGTTGAACCCTAAACATGATTGCAACATCATACGTAAGCTCTTCTCAGCACCAGCCAAATGCCGCAATTAGAATCAGCATGCGACGATGTCAAGGGCTGAAGTCGTTGTTCCAAACTTTGCTGGAGTGGCTGCATGAAGCTGAGGTTGCGCACGTGGACGCACCTGGTCACCGGGCCATGTTTTGTTTGTTGTCATGCAGAGTCTACGTCCAGGGCCCGGGGAAGTGTGCAAATCTGGCCCAGCACGGAAAGCGCCTGACATGTGGATTTCTTGTGAAGTCCTCAGATCGATGCACGAAGTCATGACCAATCCATTGTCTTCAGCAGCCAAGCTGCTCAAGTGCGCGCCCCGCACTTCTACTACCTGGTATTGAACCTCAACGTCCGAAGCTCAGAGCTAGTGGTCCTTCGTCACACGCGTTGGGTCAGCCTAAGCGCGTGTAGGTGTGGCCCTTGATTTGGAAAGTCAGGAAAAGGAGCTGCAATTCGGATACCGGAAGAGAGCACTTCAGAAGGTTTAAAGTTGTGCTGGGTCTGCTCACTGACGAGGTTAGCATGGCATCGGAACAGACATCCTTGACCGGAGGCTGAGTCTTGCTCGCTGCCGTTTGTGAGAAAGGATGGTTTCATTTGTCATCATTTGTCAGCCCTGTATTTTTGTTTCTAAGCAAGCCCGGCTTCTGCAAGGTTGCAGCTTAGAACGGTCTAGGCTTAAGGAACCCGTTATTGTTTTTGTTACTTTGGTCTTTTGTGCTGTTGGGCCATCCCACCAAACAGTGGCTGCCCTGCCCAACACCCAGCTGTTGTAGGTAGCATGGTTAGATATTGAGTTGCAAAAACGTTGCACAAATGCTTTTGGAAGCCTACATGTTCTCATCTTCGTTCATGATCTTTCTTCAGGGCACCCCAACCGGCCATGCGTTATCACAAAGTGGACTAGTGGAGGTTTCTCGCATTTTCGCACCAAATCAAGTATTCTCGCGTGGAGCGTCCTGAAACTTCGCCTGAAAATTCAAGTCTTGCGTGGAGCTTTTCGACACCAAATTGAGCTCTCGTGTGGAGCGTCCTCAGATTTCATTTCCAAGCAACTTTTCGAGTGGAGGGAGGGTCTGGGAGGGCGAGGGAGTCTTTTTTTTTTCTTCTCGTGCGGGGGCATGGTTCAGGTGCCAAAACGGCAAAAAAAGGTACCCGCCCAAACAGGCCCCTTCCCAAAAAGGAAAAAACACACCCGACCCGCCCCGACAACAAGAAAGACCAGACAACAACCAAAAACACTGTTACCCTTGGGCTTAGATGAGGTTCAAACACGTGTGTTTGTGCATGGAGTGGCTTCAGTGCATCCCTTTTGCTTTGGAATGCCTTGGCTACCTGTGGCTTGACCTCGGAACTGCAATTCATGACATCTGACCTTGTGCACCGAACCCCTCGTGTCCTGGAAGATGACATCCTGCCCTTAAGCAGAGTTCCAGAGTTTATATTCCAGGGCCAACGCAGCTGGCCGGCATCCAGGATTGCGAGGTCCGCCATGGCCACCCAGCCACCAAGATAGTTTGGCGTTTGGGATCCGGCTGCCACGCACATTTCCGTGTGTCTCCAAATCTCATGTCACAAGAAGTTAGTGAAACATTCCCACTTTTCTCAATCTACATGTCTTATGTTGTTGATTGAGGATTCATCCGCAAAGTGTACGGCATTCTGGGCGTCCAGATGGTCATCACTACGGTGATCGCAAGCTACATGACAGCACAAGCTATGTATGGACTCGGAATGCGTCCGAGATATCATTTGATCCAGGTTTGATCACGATCTACGGCGCCAACCTTGTCACAGTCTTGGCTCCCCACCTATTCAGTCAATACGATTGGCTACAGACTTGATCGTAGGTGAAGTACAATCCCGCGTTGGTCACATCCCTCATGGTCGTCTCCATGGTGAGAGGCTCGAACGGCTGAACCGCATCTCCACTCATATGCATTCCCCCCCCATCAATGTATTTTCTTCGCGAGGCTCTTATTTGCTTGCTTTGCTTGCCCCTAAGGTCATGGCAATCAGCTTCGCGCTCAGCACGAAGTTTCTGCAAGCTGGCTTCAGCGAGTCGTGCTTAAAATCGTTTGCTGCCTTCAGAGCTGAAGTAGCCGAATGTTCGCACATTGTCCAGATCGACGGCTGTCCCCAAACAGGTTGTGACTGTGGACTTCAGCCATGGACTTGTTGCGCCTGGTTAGGCACGTTGTGCGTCTTCATGTGCTGCCCTGACACTATGCGGAAGACGCCTACGAACTACATGCTGTCCCACACTTACTCGCTGTAGGGTTGGCAAAGTGTTGGCGGACAAGAGCCTGCACGCTGAGGCTTATGATCTTCACAATAGCAGAGTCTGTCATGGTGGGTGCCTTGTCAAGAAGAAGCCTGTCATGTCTGCTGGTTTTCACGTGACATTCTGTTGTCAGGGCTGCGTCGCTACATGTATTCGACTGGGCAGTAGCTAGTGCAGATTTGGCGAGTGCAGGTTTCATCTGTGTCCAGTACACGGTCCAGTCAGTGCTGGTCACGCTGGGAATCACTGCGCCCAGACAGAACAGCTATGTCCCTTTGACTGCTCATGAACGCCATTTGGCATTGAGGCAGCTTTGGTGCTGGTCTTGTCTTTGTTCGCCATGCAGACAACGTCTCTCGGCCGCACATGGCTGGTATGTTTCTCAGTTGATAGTGCGTGCTGTGCAGGTACGACTTCACTGGATTTATGCCCTATTTGTTTGCCTTGGTCTCCTGCCTCTTCTTGTTTGGCCTTGTGATGTCCATTTTCAGCCTGTGCGGCGCCCTAAGCGCCTTGGGCCGTCTTGGGAGATTTTTAGTAGGCTTTGGTTGCCAACTCAGGCCCTCATTGCTCGAACAGGAAAATTCTGTATCGTGACTCATGATTTCACTATAGTTCAGGTGGGGTGTCGAGGTTCTAGGGAGATTTGGTCCTGGGACTTGGATTTCGTGTAGGAGCATACCCAGCCACAGCAGTTCAGGAACAGGATCGGCAGATAGGCCAGCCCCATTGGCAAAGCAAGCGCACTTAGGAGTTTCTTGAGAGAGCTTCATTTAGCATCTCTCCTGCTTGGGTGTAACAGTATTGAAATTGCTGTTGCGATCCCAAGCAAAAGCATGAACATTTATGCAGTCCCGTGCTGCGTCACCCGTCGCCACTCAGACAAAGAGGAGAGATCAACAGCCGCAGCCATGATCCGTCCTAGAACTACCCTAAAGCAGATGCCAAGAACACTATCATAAAGCACATTCGAAACATCTGAAACCAGAAAAGAAGAAATCGCCTTCAGAGTTACTTCTGGTTCCCAATCAAAACGCCAGGTCTTAAGGGTGCCTTGTGACAAGTCTAACCTACACGTAAAACCACAGCAGAAGAAATCAAATCCAGCGCGGGCGAAAAAATCATCCAAAGCGATTTCAGAATTGTGTCTAACATGAATTTCAAACCCTTCTGGCTGTTCTTCTTCAGTTTTTGCGCTTTCGAGGCAAGATCTTACCAAATTCAGTAGTGTAGATAGGTTGACAGTGGCCTAGGAGCTTCCGTGGGGCCTGTTTGGGCACCCATTTCCCTGTGACTTGCATACACGGACCCACCGCCACGACAGGCCAGACTTCGCCCACCGCCAGACGAGTTCAGAGTTCACTTGGGCGAAGCCCGTTGCGAGCATCAGCCCAACTGTCGGCTCAAGTGTCCAGCCGCGCCTCACAATGCCCAGACTGCGAGAATGCACCCTGGTGCCAATCGGCCTTGGCTGTGAGGTGGTGGCAGCATCGCCTCAATTTTTCCGAGCACTCCTTCGGGTCATGCTTGTGCTGGCAGAATTGAAGCTGCAGCACTGCAAGGGAACATGAACGGTGTACTGTTGTGAGCTTGAAGTGCATCGATGCTTGTCCAGGCTCCGCAGCGTGGAGAAGTTTGTTGCTGGCGACATTCCTCCCAGTCAGCTGGTAGTATCGCCTCAACGTGGTTGCGGACCGTGCGCAGACAAATGACGTCATGCATGAGCTGGCATGATAGAGGCTGCATCCCTGTCGACCACCAAGCCTCCCCCAAAACAGAGTTTGCTGGCGGCCCCCCCACCCGATGGCCCTGGTGTCAGCTCAGCTAGCTCTTTCGGATGTGGGCTCCTCAAGTGCCTCCTCTCCCAATTTTGGAGTTTCCCGTCTCCTGCACAGCATGCCGCCACAAATGCCAACATAATCAATCATTTTTTCAGGGATGCCACTCCCAGGAGTGCACAAAACCACTGAAGGATTGATCATGAATTCTGTTCCGCCTGTTTTTCCAAAGTTGGAATGCCAGCGATGCCAAGCTTCTTCTTACAGAACGATGGGTTCTGCAGCTGCCACATGTCCCGTTTGAAAGAAAGACCAAACTGTGGCATGAACTTCGCAGGGCAGGGCAGTACCTTTCCGGAAACCTTGTAGGAAAAGTTAGTTTCAGTAGAGGGAAACAAACTTTTGCAGAAACCTTTACCGGGATCAGAAAGTAACCTTTATGGGAAACGTTAGTTCCGCTTACTGAACTAAGGGTTCTAGGAAAATTGGTTGCTTTTTTTTTCAGCCGGAAACAAACCTTTTGCGGAACGTTAGTTTTGCGCACTAAGCTAAGGTTTCTGGAAGAAGTTAGTTTCATCAGAGGGAAACATGGCTTTTCCAGAAACCTTTACTGGTGTCACAAACTAACCTTGATGGGAAATGTTGGTTTCGTACACTAAACTAAGGCTCCTGCTTCATTACCTTTATTGCAGCAGAAACTAGGGTTGACGGCAAATGTTGGTTTCGCACTAAACGAAGTTCTCTGGGAAAAGTTAGTTTCATTAGAGTGAAAAATCGCCCAGAAACCTTTACTGGGGTCTGGGTTCAGCAAGAAGGGTTGATGGCAAGTGTTAGTTTCGCACCAAGCCAAGGTCCTTGTGACAAGGGTTGTGGGGTGCGCGTTCGTGTGAAGGGGAGTTTGAGGCGCACATATCCTAACTCTCCCATTTTGGCACAGCCACGAATCAACCAACAATTTTCTGAACCCTATGAGCGTATAAAACCTGTGGCCCCAGATCCTATCCAAAATCCCCGAACCCTATCACGGTACGCAATTGCAAAACTCCCCAAACACTATAAGCGTGCGCAGCCTGCAGTCTCCCAAAGCCGCAACCGGCGACCCCAAACAACCAGCAACCGCAAATCCCACCCTAAAATCGTCCACTTCCCCCCTCCTGTTTCAGCTCGAAAAGTCAGTGGGGATCGGCTGGCAAATGTTTCTGAAGAAACGTTAGTTTTCCAAGTTAACTACAGTAACCTTTGCCTTCAGAGTTAGTTTGTTTCCTCCCAGGGGGATCCAGAAACGCTCCAGGGCTTGGCACAAACATTTGTTGGCAACTGATGTTTCGCAATGCTTCGCAGAAACGTGTTGAAATCTGACGTTTTTCAGGAACGCTTTCCGGAAACCTGGGCTTTCCGGAAACACTTGTTGAGAGGGTTTGCCAGACACGTTTGTTGGAAATTGACGTTTGCCAGGAACTTCTGCCGGAAAGCAGAGTTTTCCAGACACGTTTGCCAGAAATCAAGGTTTTCCGGGAACGCTTGTTGGAAACTAACGTTTGTCAGGAACGTATGCCGGAAGCTAACGTTTGCCGAAACCATGCGTTTCAAAACATGGTTTTCTAGAAGCATTTGCCAGAAACCAGGGTTGTCCGGAAGCGTTTGTCAGAAACCAATGTTTTCAGAAAACCTTTGTTTGCACCCGTGAACAAATTTATCCGGAAAACTTTAGTTTCTGACCGAAACAAACGTTTCCGGCAAATTCAGTTGCAGCCCCAACACAAACATTTCCAAAGTTTCTGAGTTAGCTTGTTCCCCCCCCTCCTTCCCCGCCTCCACCCCACTCCCCACCTTGCAGGTTTCGAAACAAGCGTTTGTAGTGCGGAAACAAGCGTCTCAGCCTAAAGATAGTTCCTTCTGAAAACATTTTCGCCTCCGCCATTTGTCAGGATTTCTTCCTTCAACTTGTATTTTGTTGAGGGTCCCACACAAGCGGATTACTTCCAGAGTTTGCAGATTCAGCAGATGCCTCCCTAAATAAAGCTCGCTGAATAGCGAATCGTTATCGACCCTGGCATCCACCTTGTCAAAAGCAAATGTGCATGTCACCAAGTGAGGAGAAGCAGTAGCCTAGAATTCAGAAGACATTTGTGATGGTCAAAAATCCAGCGCTGCCGGAAGCTCTGTTATGGGCCATGAGCCGAGGCGCACAAGCTTTCCATGTGATGCACCTTGGCGAGCTTTCAGATATGCGTTCGCTGTGGTGGCGGTCTAGGCTTTCGTGTGGCTTCATGCGTACTTGTTTTGTCTGACGGGAAGGATCAAGCTGGCGGTGTTGGCATGTTTGATGTGCAGTCGATTGCTCCCGTTTATGGTATTTCTCACGTTTGCAAATGAGATTTGCACGCAGGGCTGTACGTGAGTTTTTTTGGAGGTTCTCGTTGCAGTGTTGTTGTCGCATGTTCTAGCTTCTTTTCTTGGAAGAGGGCTGTGCGCTGGCTGGTTGGGGAGGGTAGCGGCGGTCCATGCCTGGCAGTTGATCAGTACTTGCATCTTGTCTTTCCTTTGACAGCCTGTTCAAAATGCTTACCAAAGAATGCTTCGAGGCAGAAAGCACGGAGAGCCAAGAGCTCACAGTCAGCTCGCCCTGTGCAAGGGGTGCCAAAGCAAATCTAGCTGCGTGCGTACAATCAAGCCTTATCAATCCAACATTTCGGCACATGTTAGCCAACGTTCATGGATGGTCATCAGCCTCCAAGTCAGTCCAATAAGGGGGCAAAGTAATGGCAAGAGATTCGTTTTGCATAATCAAAGCCTGGCAGCGGGTGCTCTTCTGCGTCTGAAAGCGTTGGCCGCCAAAGGAACATGATCTATGCTGGTCTGGGGGCGATAGTCTTCTCTTTCTACATCATCTTCGACACTCAGCTGATTGTGGCTGGCAAACACAACAAGTTCAGGCTGGGTCAAGATGCTGTTCTTCATGAGATTGACCCTCGCCATTACACGCCCCAACTGCAGTACAGGTTCTCCATCGACGACTACTGCATGGCAGCACGGAGCTGAATCGGTCTGCCACACCATGATCATCTTGGCAATCCTTCCGTGCATGTTCGCTAAGGCGATCAACATCTATGTTGACATCATTCAGCTATTCTTGTTTCTGCTGCAGCTCTTGGGAGATCGCCGCCAGTGAGATGGTCAGCTAGCGAGACGGAGCGAACAACATATCTAAAAAGTGAGATCGCTATCCCACGAACATGTGCCCGCGTAGCATGCCATTATTCTGCACTATTTCGCGCTCATCTGAGCTGCCAGGCTTTGCTCCGAAGGCTAGCAGGGGAAAGCTGCTTTGGCCAGCTGACATCTCAGAATGAGTGGCAGAGCAAAGCCAACTAGCCGAGGTCAACATGTCATCTTGTCAAAAGTCATTGGTGAGCACATTGTGCAAGCTTGTGTGCTGTAGCAGGACAGGTCAATTCGCAAACCTGTTGTGGCACTAGCTGTGAATGTCGCCCAATCTATATAACGACTTGCCTGGTGAGGTCCAATAGCAGCTGTGAGTTTCTTCCAGAGACTGGTCTTTCGGTTCCACCGCATCTACTGCAGGCTTGTGCCCGTTTGCTCTCGCCATGCCTTGTCAGCTGCTGGTCCTGCGCGGTGCACCTTAAGGCCTTGGCATCGCCATCACACGAGGCCTCTTGGCACTCAGCTCAACGAAGACCACGAGCAACTCTATGTCGACATCCTCAAGATGAAGCTAGGCTGTGATACCATAGTTTTGAGAGACGCTGCCAGGAGACCTTGCCGCCTTCAGGCGATGGGCCATCTGAAGAGCCATTACCCTGGTCATCCTTGATTAGAGCATGATGGTCAGGAGCAACAGTGTTTCTAGCAGGCCTTGCCGGGGGGCATCTCGAGAGATGCGGGTGGGTTGTGAGGCCTCCCGCCCTCGTGCGCTTGCACACTGGAGAGCCTTGCGGCCGCAACCGACGGGCGGTGCCACAGAGGAGCTTGCATAGCTTGCAGATGTAGGAGCAGCACTTAGCAAGGCCGTTTCGATGATGGTGTTCTATGCGTTTGTCATTTGTCGCTGTTGAAGCGTTTCAGAATAGGAAACAATGCCATCCGCAAGCCACAACCGAGTTGTATAACGGAAGGCGGCGCATGAAAGGCGTTCACCCAAACCTACACAGCACATGATTCCATGATGACATCGTAACAGGCCCAACAGTTGGCAGATTAGGTGGTTCAGCACAGCACGCGAGGGCCTTGCCTCAAAATGGAGCGCATGCCACAATTGCTTCATAGTCAACTGCACAGCATCAAGCCAACCCCTGACAGCCTGACAACAGCTTCTTACAGTAACCTCCATCTGGGTTGGGTCGCCATGGGGCAGCGGTGCCCCTGCCGCGAGATCAAGGAGCCACATAAGCTGCAACGGTTTTGACCTGTGCCGCAGATGTTCTTTCGAATCTTCATAGTCATGAGCAAATCCATCTCTGCTTTGTGACTGCCATGTGCCAGGCTGCAGGCTTCTCATGGTTGTGAAAAATGATTGTGTTCACTGTGAGGATGTGGGCGTCCAAGACGCACCAGGCGAGGGGGAGGTGCAGGCCATCGCCCAGGAGCTAGCAGAGTTGCCCAAGGCTCGCATTTCTCCTCACGTGCAAGCCACGCAGGAAAAGACGGAGCCCCTTAGCGCAGCAGCGACAGCAGTGACGGAGGTCAAGGCACGGAGCAGCAAGCCCCACCTGTGCGGAAGCTTGGCAGAAGCCAGGCGCAAGCTGCGAGCAAGCAGAGCGAGGCCAAAGCGAATCCCGTCGAACGGCGGATGCCTTGGGTACTTCCACCAGGAGGGAAGCTCACAGTCTGGAGCCCAGACAGCAAAATCCAAGGCTTACTGAGGTCGAGTGACCTCCAAGTTGTCATGTGTGTAGCGTCTTTGTCTTGTGCACGCCAGATGTTGAGCGGTCGTCCATCATCCTTGGAAAGTGTGCGAAGCAAAAGTCCCCCCAAGGCTGTTTTGCAAGCAGCACACAGGCTTCTGAGCTGTGTCCCAGACAGGGTGGCAATTCGCATGTGCGCGCGTCTATGAAAGTTTGATACTGTCGCGATTCCTGCGATTCTTCGCAGCAATTCTGGAAGTGCGACTGAAATTTTTCCACAACCTACATCAGCATCAGCGCACTTCATTGGGAGGATTGTTCAGGGGCAACTGCAAAACTGACTGAGTCAGAATGGTTCTGCGCATGAGTCCGGAGGTGAGAGAGAGGCAAGCCCCGAGCAATGCGCGTGCAGGTGAGGTGGAGGGTTGGGTGGAAGGGACGGTTCTCCGGCTGTCTTTCCTGGAATCTTGGCAGGCTTGGAACCTTAGGGAAATTCCAGGTAAATTGCCATGAGCTCTGGCTGACTGCCCGAAAGGGCCTCCGAAGCCATCCCTGCATGGAGTCGTTTGCGTCGTGCTACGACATGCACCAATTGCAGGCTTTTCTGGGATCAGGCCTTTGGCGGTTTGTAGTTGCGGGGTTTGAGGGTTTACGCGTTTAAGGTTTGGGATCTTTCCGGC